CTTTGTTTCCTTCCACGCTCGGACCCTGCGAGGTCTACCATCGCCACGTATGAGTAGATGCTCTGCGTCACCGCGTTACTGCCCGCGTTCTGTGAGTCCGCCAGGTCAAACTGCAGTTGCAGAATAAATACGGCATGGGAACGGGAGCTCGTGTCGTTGCGCTGATGCCCCTTCATCACCCGATTTCGTGTCGCCAACTTGTAGCAGCGACGGAAGTCCTCCACAGACGACACCCGCACACCACCGCCACGAAAAGAAGTGCTGCCAGTGCCACCTCCACTCGCCCGTTTCCCACCACAACTGTTACTCACTGCTAAGGAATTAGGGATGTTCAACCTCTGGCAGAACGCATCAAGACCGCCAATGTCACTGATATTTGGGATCGCCCGTTTAGCGGGATCCAACAAATCATAGAACTCATCCATGTACAACTCAACCCCGTAAAGTGTAAGCTCTTTCAGCGTCAAGGAGACACTATGGCGCTGCTTCTGCGTTTCTTGACTTTTGTCCTTTCCGTTACCAGACCGGTTACCGGGTGTTGCCTTGACTGACGGTTCATTCTGGCCAAGCACCACTCGTTCCCCGCGGCGTTCCAGCAAAATGAGTACGATGCGTGGCAACAACCCCATTGTTTCATTCCCTTCATCTGGCACGGTCATCGATTCCGTCAGACCACTACTAATACCAGTCAAACTCATCTCGTTCCTGGTACCTCCAAAGGCATCCATGTAAGTTGAAAAACCCAAATCAAACTGGGACAGACCCGAAGACAATGAACTTCCCTCCATGTCGTTAGCATCTGCCCCGCGTCTTGGGCTGATAAAATTTCTCTGCTGCTGCTGTTGGCGGTGCGGCTGCTGTTGCTCTTCCTCTATTTTGGCCGCCGGTGTGGAAGTTTCCCTCACCGGTATTGCTGTTGTCGCTGTCGTGGACACCAGCGCGGCTGTGTCCGACAAAGCAGTACCCGTTGATGTAAGATTACTTCTTTGGCTGTTCGATAACCGCTCCGCGAGAGAGACGACTTTGCCCCTGTTTTTACTATCAAAAATCGGTCGATTCTCCAACAAGAGTAAACTATCCACTGCCGGCACAACCCTGCCTATCTTCTTCAGCGCTTGGCCGCGTGTGGAGCCCATCATGCTGTATGTCTTGCCACTCCCTGTGGGGCCGTAACAAACAATGGCAACGCTTTGCGCCAAAAGTGCCATATCAACAAAATCCAGCACGCTCTCCTCAAAGAGTTCCTCCTGAGTCGCGTCCTCCCCGTGAACAAAGTCAAAGTTAAAGTGTTCCTCTCGCCTAATGACCCCGGAATTATTGAGTGGTGTGACCTCCGGCGTGGCTGACGCAAAAGTTTTATTTCCAATCTTTGTGGCGGAAGCCGTCGTGCCGCGAGAACGCGAGCTCTCACTGTGATGTTTCCGTGGCGTTTTCCTGGCGAATAGCATCTTGGGTGGCAGCGACTCACTCAACCACCCAGAGGAGGGAGAATGTTGACGCGGCGGTGACGATACGAACGGAGACGTTGGCGCACTCCTGGGAGCACCGTTGCTTTTCAGCGGCGATGCGGTGCGACAACGACTCGGTACCAATTTATTGGAACGCACCACAATTTTCTGGTGGTCAAGACACCACACATGGCGCTGGTTTTTCCCCTCCCCCAGGTATGGGAGTATGGGTCTTGTGCGGATGTGAACTACAGGTAAGGCCATGCGGCGACGTGAGATTGGCAAATGCATCTTGTTTAGGGGAGAAAACACTCCAGAGTGCTCGACAGGGAAATCGGACAAATCTTCAAGAGGGGTCTCGCCCCCTGTGTCGTCAGCATACATGTAAAACTCAAACACACACACACACACACACACACGCAAAAAAATAATAATAATAGTTTTTTGTTTGTTTGTTGCTGTAATCTGTTGTTTGTGTTGTCCTCTTCTACCTGGCGCGTGGCGGCCCTTTTCCCCTACTCCACGTCCCTTTGTGTCCCACACTTCTTCACTGCCGCCTTCTCTTCTATACCTACTCTTTTAGTTCTGCACCCTGCAAACATAAATAAAAAGGAGAAAGGTGCATGAACCCATGCAGTGAGTCGTGACGAAGGCCAATACTTCGCCCTGCGGCAAAGAGACAAAAAAAAAAAACACGAGTACATTTTTAATGGAAAGGACACGGCTCTGCTCTTTTTCTCACAGCAGCCCAACGCAGCCACAGAATCGCCGCACAAAATGCGTGCGTGTGTGACGGGCAATGAGCAGATACTGTGTAAAAAAAAAAAAAAAAAAAGGGCGGAGAGGCGTTGAGAAAGCATAAATGAAAAAGCCACGGTAAAAGAAGACAGCGCGACTGAAAGCGACTCCACTCCTTCTTTTTGTGTCGCTAACAGCGCTCGAAAACCTTGTAGAGCTCCTCCACCGACACGACTGTCTGGATCGTTCCATCAATCAGTGCATCCGCTGGCGGAACAAACAACTTCGAGCTTGTCGCACACGGCAAAAGCGCAAAACGAATGGCGTCAAAAAGAGACGGCACACTGCCGCCCTCCTCCCCCCTGCCGTCCCCCGGAGGCTCTACACCCGGCGACGGGGACACACGCGGCTCCACCCATGCGTCGTGCAGGCGCAGGCCGTACAATGTGTCGGCAATGTGACGAGCAATGGCAGTGAAGCAGGCCACTTCATCCTCCCTGTACGGAACCTCTGCTGCCAGTCGCCAAATAAAAAGCGGCACAACACGCGGTGAGGGCGGCCAAGAGGAATTCAGCCCAAACGGTAGCGCCAAGAGGTAACCGTCATGCGTGATCTCAATGGAAAAGTACTCCAGTAACATGCACCGCCACTGGCGGAGGCATCTATCCATTCGGCGGACGGTGCGTTGTGTGCTCTCGGCCAAAGAAACGTCCGTTTTGGGAGGAACATCGTGCTGGAGGGCAAAATACAAAAGGTCAGTCACCCTCACAGGCTCCTGCAGCAGCATTTGAGGTGGTGCTGGTAGCGACGCTATCGACCACCGCATGAAGATACGTTGGTACACCACAAGCCGAACCAGGCGCAGCGTGTCTACGGCATAGAGTGTTGTTCCAGATTGCGCCAAAAAAATGTGGCCGTTTATCACGCCCACATACACCAGTTTCTCAAAAAGCGACTGGACAGTGGGAGAAGTGGCCTGACGAATTTGTGAAACAATCGTTGAAACACTCGTAAGAAGCAAATCCCCACGTTCATCAGGCACCGGCTCTACCGCACTTTCGCATGCAGACGATGCGGCTGATGCGTACACAACCCCCGCACCCACTTTTTCATCCTCGGCTGCTTCTGCCGTCGTCACAATGCCAGCCGCCCGCTGGATCTCTTTCCGCTGACGTTTGAATTGCTGCATAACGTAACCCAAGTCCTCCTTCTCTTCTTCCCCTTCCTCTCTCTCTTCTTCCTTTAGCCTCTTTTTAGCCTCGCCCTCGTCTCTGTCAGCAGCATCCGTGGAACCGAATTTCATAATTGATGTGATGAGGGATGCAGTAACGTCTTCATTGGATGCCGTGCAGACAATTGACGTTCCCGCAGCATGTTGTTCCTCTTGAATTATTGTTTCTCCCGATTTCACCGCAGTCAAGGGATCTGGGTGGCTGCAGTTCTCGAACCGCTGCTTGTCGACGGCATCTTCCGATGATACCTCGCCCGCCTCCTCTTTTTTCGAAATCGGCATACGTCGGCAATATGCATCAAGTGCTCCACGCTGCGGTTCCACGCGCACGACGGTACAAGGCGCTGCTGCTACTCCAGCAACAACGATCGATGACGGTAACGGTGAAGGCTGCGACACATGCGCTCCCCTGTCACCTGCCAATGCAGCCGCCTTGGAGAGAACGTGCCGTGTGTCCAGTTGACGACGGGCAGCAGATTCCATCACGGCAAGACGGACACTTTCCGACAACTGTGCAACAATGATTTCTTCATCAAGCAGGCAGACCTCATGCTTCGTGGGATGAATGTTCACATCTACGCGGTCAGGGGGTATGGTGATGAAAAGCACTGTGAAAGGACGGTTGCCACCCGTCAGGATGCCGCTGTAAACGGTGTCTATTGCTCTCTTGATGACAGCACTCTCCACCAGCCGGTTGTTAACAAATATGCAAAGGTACGGGTTGCGGTTAAGAAGCGCCATGCCACTGGTGTAACCGGTGATAAGAAAACAGTCCTCTCCTGCTTCCCCTCTTTTCGCCAAAACAGTCTCCGGAGAGCCGCTGCCCGCGCCAGCTTCGACGCATTTCAGCTCATTTAAGTGCGAGGCAATCGCTGGGCCATGAAAAAGACGAATATTTGCCAGAGAGCTGGAGTCTTTCGGAAAAAAAATCTCCGCCTTCCCCCCGGTTCCCTCTTCCCGGCGACACGAGAACCCGACATGCGGAAAAGCCAAGGCGTATCGTGAGATCAACGCCACAATGCGGCTGTACTCCTCTGAAGGGCGGTTAAGCGCCCGACGACGCACGGCTGAATTGTAAAACATCTTCTCAACGCGGATGCTTGTGCCGGGGTTCCCAGCGCACGGCGTTGGCTCGCCCTGCATCGCCCCGTCCAAGTACTGGCAGCGCCACGCAAGCGTTCCAGATGATGCTTCATCCTTGTCAACTCGACGCATTGTCGTCACCGTCACCCTGGAGACATAAGAGATGGAGCTTAGCGCCTCGCCACGAAACCCAAAGGACGTGATGCGGCTCAAATCCTCAAAGGACCTCAGTTTACTGGTGGCGTAACGCTCACACAACAACGGCAGGTCATCGCGATGAATGCCGTGGCCATCGTCCGTCACCTGCAACAGCCCCAGCCCACCATCACGCACTAAAACCTGGATGAACGTGCTTCCGGCGTCTAGAGCGTTTTCCAGCAGTTCCTTCAGCGCCGCACTCGGCCTCTGCACCACCTCTCCAGCAGCAATACGGTTGACAACGTTATCAGAAAGACGCTTAATGCGTCTCATTCAAAAAATTTCGCCCACCACAACGCCCCTTCCTTTTCCGCGTCAGTGCATGTTGCCAATGAGAGGAGAAGAAAAAAAGGAAAGCCAAGGGAAAAAGCCAAAAAGTGCACAACATCCTCATCGCATGGAATACATCGACAACTCAGCCAATTCCAAAAGAGTCACCCACTGCTGAATTGGAGTGGAAAGACATGTTGGCATAAAAAATAAATAAGGCAAATCGCAAGTCATAAATTCACAGGCAGGAAAACCAACCAAACATATAGACACACACACACACACACACAAACAGCCCGCCTGCCACAAATAATCTCTTCTCTCGGCCACTGCACTTCGCACTGCTGACGCTCCAACTGGTCAGTCCTTGATTGATCCTATTCAAGGTCACCCAAATACACTCTCAACTACTTGCGCCTCGTGCGAACACGGTAAGTTAAAAACTCATGCAAGTCAACTACACCGTTGCCATCCGTGTCAATGCATCGGAACAATCGCCTCCCAGAGTCAATATTATTCACATCTCCTAATCTCACAGCAAGTCGCGCAAACTCATCGATGCTCAGCAGGCCATTCTGATCAGTGTCGTACAAGCGGAACTGCATCATGATGGTGTTGTACTCTGATTGCGAAAGCCCATAAAGAGCGTTGGGATCCGGCCGGTTATGCGACAACCAAGTAAGAAATTCGTTAAGGGACAGCGTGCCGCTGCCATCTGTATCCATTAGGCGAAACATGCGATCAATGTCATAGTCGGTGCGGGCAAAGTTGAGCCACCGTGCGAGACGCCCAACCTCAGCGCGGTCCAGTCCACCGCTTTCGTCGTTGTCAAAAAAGACAAACAACGCCATGATCTGGTCATACTCTTCACGCGACAGGCCAAACTGATGCCAAGGCTCCTGGCTATTCGGCTCCACAAAGGCATACTTTGGGCCTGGTGCCAAGGCCGAGGGCACCGAAGCCATTTTTGTGTCCGTGCGGCACGTGTGAGAGTTGCCCTGTTCACGCGTCCCGGTCCAACTGCACGAGGCACACTTGACAGGCACTGCCAGCGCAAGGTTCACAAGGGTGCGGTTCGGCCTTTTGCTGTTGGCCACAGACTGACGACAAATGGGACACGTATTCATGCCCCTGACGCACACTGCGCAAAATATATGCCCACATGGAACCAGCTCTACCGGATCCTTCCAAGAGTCTAGGCAAAGGGCACAGCGCAGCTCCTCATTGCACTCTGTGGCCAGGATCAAGGGAGGCATAAGCGAATTCACAGACGGCAACCGTCCTCTTTGGGAAAGAAGAAATATCACCCAATCTACAACCTTATGAAAGAGAAAGAGAAAGAGAGAGGAACAAAACAGGGGAAAAAAAACATCCTGGGCTCCAGGTAACACTTCAGAATTCTTCACACCCAGCTCTTTCTTTCTCTCTCTTCACGAAATTCACTTTTTTTTTTTTTGTGTGTGTGTGTCTGTTGAAAAACCCCAAGTAACGGAAGGTGTTTGTGTCAGAAACTGAAAAAAAAGGGATCTGAACAGATTCACGCCGTGCCAAAAAAAAATAAACTTCGTGCTTACCCGTTTTATATATGTATATATATATATATATATATTTGAAGAGGTGTATAGCATGCCTTTTTTTTTCAATCTTTTCCTTTTTGGATCCATCGCGCGCGGCTTAATGAGGCACTACTGTTGAGCCTCAGGTGTGTGACTAGAGAGCATGATTCCATAGACCTGAGAAGGCTGGTGAAAGACAGAGCTTCCGGTAACACTTGTTGCCCTTTTGTATAATTCTTCATCAGAAAGATGTGGGTATTTATTGTAGATGCTATGGGTATCTTTTATCCCGCATCGGTGCGCCTGGGACTGTTTTCTTGTCCCCTGCCATCCGCAGCTGCCACAACTCACAGGAAGAAGTAGCACGGCCTGCAATACAGAATCTGGGGCTGGCTTTGAGTACTCAATGCGACCACGACATGTGGGGCAGGTGGATGCGCCTTGAACACAGGCCTCACAGAATATGTGGCCGCAAATAAACAACTGCGTTGGATTCTGAAAAGAGTCCAAACACACTTGACACGTGAGAGCATCCGGAGCGTTGAGGGACCTGCAGCAAGACATTGGCGTACGTAGTGCTAAGAGGCAAGATGCTTCAAGGGTTTCTTTTTTCTGGCAGTGCTGGTTTTGTATGCAGCAAAATCAAACACAAAAAAAAAAAAAAAAAAAGAAAGAAAGCAATTTGCTTTATTATTATTATTATTATTATTATTATTATTATTATTATTATTATTATTATCATGCTGTAAAGCACGGCGGCCAATGAACCCACAGAACGAGACGGATGAAGAAAATGGGAAAAGGGGTAAGGGAAGTCCATTCAATGAAAAGATCCTAAAAGGCTGCTGCTGGCTGCAAAAGTAGCTCGAGGCATCAGCCCCATCCTCGTCAGTGAGGCGCCTCCCACTATAGCCCCAAACAGCAACGCACACAGTGAGGAAGAGTGAAAAAAAAAAAAAACACGATAAAAAATTGGGTAAAACAACTTGGTCTAAACAAAGCGAAGCATCTTGATGGATTTACTCCCTCCGAAGGTTCCAGGAGGAGTGTACATGTACAGTGACGACCAGGTTGTCGCCATTGCCCATTGTTCCATCGACGAATTAGAGTAAAGACGCCTGACAATAATGCGGTGTGGGGTTGGCAAAGCACCCACAAGAGACGTTTTGCATATCACTGATACTGTGTCCATTATACCGGCTTCTTCTGCAGCGGCTACCGCCCCTTCAACAGCGGTGATCGCATCCCTGACTGTACCTATAAGGAATGGAGAAGTAAGGCGCACAAGAAAGGCGTTAGAGCCCTCCGCCAGAAATATATCTGAAACCTCGCCCACCAAACTCTTGTGCTTTATAAAGGCAGCTAGGAGAGTTGCTGCAGCCCCCTCATGGTACTGCAATACGCCAGCAACGGCTTCCACAATATTAAGTAGCACAACCTGGTCAGCTTTAACCTCTGCGTCATCGAGAATGACTTCATTGGATGCAAAAAGGGCTTTGTACGCAAGATACCTAGTGGACACGGAAGTAAATACAAGTCCCAGCTTCTCTGACGTGACAGGACTAATTTTTATCATAAAGGGAGCAATGTTCGATATGATTGCGCTACAGGTCACATGAAGGGGACGTATCAGTTCATGACGCAATAATATAAACGAGCACAACATGATAATGAGTAGATCATTGTATGTCCCCACAAAAGAGTCAAATTCAAATGGAATACGTTCGTGGAACAACGCGTTACATTGCAAACAAAACGCTCGCGTCTCAGAGAGTCGCAGCAAAAGAAGCAATACGAGCTGAAGGTGAGGAAAGTATTTTGGGTCCCGCTTGGCATTAAGAGCATAATCTACAAAAGGCACAATATAATTCAATGCTGCCGGCTGCTGTGCAAAAGCCAATTGACACTCTGGAGAGAGTTCAATTAGCCTCCAAAGCAGCATCATAAACTCGTCCTGAGTTATGAAACAACGCTGTGAATCCGGCAGAACTGTTCGATTTGAATATACTTTCAGGCCGATGGTGTTTTTTAGACGCTCTATGATGTATTTAGCCTCTTCCGGCGTAATTGCACTAATAAGGTCTCGTGCACTATGAACTATCCGTAGAGGCGGCGAGTTGAGCTGCTCTGTTGTCGTCCCGTCCTCTCTGTCTTTTGCTTCCACATTTTCTTTTGGTTCATTCTTATCGTTCCCCTCAGAACTCTTTGTGTGTCGCGTTTGCGTTGAACCATCAAGCAGGGCTCCCGGGTAGCATATCAAGGCACTTAAAAACCGTGAAGACATCAAAACCACCATCTCCTCTGGCCCAACCCAATGACTTGTGTATGGAATGGAACCAAATGGTATATATGACAAAATGGCATTCAATGTGGATGCTACTAGTGTAGGCAGAAGCGGGTTCTCATCGACATTGAGTAATGGTTCCGAAAAAAGAGTATCTCTCGTACCAGGCGGAGAAAACAATGGATATGACAGAAGTGCAGTGAGTGTGTAGAGAAGTTCTTGCCGAAGAGCATGCATCGTGCCGTTCATCGGCTGTGTAGAACTACCTTCTACCTGCTTTCCACCCACGCCCGGGTACCAAAGGAGAGACTCATCAACGCAGGGGTGGCTCTCAGATTCCTTTGCGGGCAAAGATGATGCGGCCAACGTCAAACCACGAATGAAACAACAGTCCACTAGTAGCCGCCCCACAAATTTGCTAAGCGTTGTGTTCTGGCCAGGGAGAAAAGGAAGCATCTGTTCCGGCTGCGCATCGTTGCATGCAAGGTTTTCCTCAAAAAAAGACCGTACAAATGTGGCAGTAAAATGTGTTCGCTTTTTTTCATCGTTTGCTTCCCCTGCAGGGAGGTTTGCCCCCTCCACAGGCGGGTTGGATGCGGGTGCGCCTCTTTTCACTGGTTCCTCCGCAGCGCACGGTGTGTCTCCGCCCTCCATTGCGATGGGAATTATTCGTCTCATCAAACAAAGCGCATTCTGGAGCCCCTGCGACGCAGATTGCACGTCACTTGCTGATTCGAGCGAAGAATTTCGAATCTGCGAGACAACCTCAATGCATTTAAAAAGTAATAATGCAAAGTTCCTCGTATAATAGTGCCGCATCATCCTTAACGTAGAAAACGGGAGGGCGCGCTCAAGCTCACTTTTGGAAAGAGCGGTATTCAGCAATAAATTAAAGATGCCATCGTCCACTGGTGTATCCACAAGCAGCGACCGTATTGCCTTTCCCACTTCAAGCGTTGAACTTGAGGTTCCCATCGAATAAGAGAACTATATATATATATATATATATATATATATATATATATATATATATATATATATATCAGCCTCCGTTGGAGTTCCCTTCTATACAAAAAATAAATAAAATAAAATAAAATAAACGAAGGCATAAGAACATGAAAAAATATGAGGGATATTTACCAAACCACTCCTCCAGTCTCCAAAAGCATTTATTTATTTCCCTCCGTTGTTGGTTTCAGGAAAGAAGAAAAGGTGACATGGGAACCAAAAATTTTTACGCACGTACAAAAAAAGAAATAAAGAAAAAACACAAAAGAAAGCCAACAGAACCAGCAATAACAACAGCAGCAGTCAACAATAAACACAGATAATAATAATTGTTGTGTGTTCACTGAAAATGCACCAAAGAAAACTCTATATAAATGGAATTGCGCATGTGTGCAAAAAAAAAAAAAAAAAAACTGCTCTGCGAACAATCATGCACCGGCCGCAACATAACCTCTAAACTGCTCGCACATGATCTGAAGAGCCTCTTTACATGTCATGCGATTGTTGGGTTCCATATGCATCAAAAGGATCAACAAAACAAGACTTTCAGAAGTAATGGTGGCAGTGACTTTGTTCCAGTCCATAAAATAATGGGCATCAGAAAAATAGCCCGTAGAAGATGCAAGAAGCTGATAAAAAATGCCTCCTATCGCAAAAACGTCCCACTTTTTCACATCGCCCGCACGAATATTTAGAGTGGGAACAAGCGAACGTGCACACAGACTCGCGCTAAGCTCCGGTGCACAGTACCCAACGGCAGCTCGTGGTGTGGCCACAACCACAAAGTCGTCATCACCATTATTATTATTATTATTATTGGCCCCGGAAGCATTGCTCCCTTGGATGCCTGAAGGCTCCACAGTCATCCCACTCCGTGGTGAGTGCAATGGCGAACCGGATGCAGTTGCTGAAATTTCATCTGCCATCCCACTCGGTGCTACGCCAGGGTTTGTACTCTTGCAGGGAAAAAAACCGGAATGACGCAGCGTTTCAAATCTAGAGTGAAAAAACCCTTGAGAACGTACGGCAGCCTCTCGCAGCTGAGCTTCGCGTTCACGCGCGACCTTGGAGTAAAACCACGCTTTACGTAGCAAGCCAACATCCACAGGGATAAAAAGTGGTGGTGGCTTCGAGAGTTGCCTCACTTGGGGTGACAGTGCGACAGCAGTATCCCCATCATCTACTTCGGGACTCGCAGAATGATACGAAAAAGGCAGCGGTTGCTTGTGATACTGTTGCTGTTGTTGCTGCTGCTGCTGTTGCTGCTTCCACATCTCATGTAAATAGGAAGAACGAGGAGATGGTTTCAAAAACCTTGCATTGTGAAAATGAAGCAGACGAATATCCTCAAAATTGTCACGGGCAACGTATATTGCGTCAAGTGACAGATCGCGGTGCACCACTTGAAGTTCGTCGTGAAGGCAACGCACCCCTTCCAACACGCATGCAATGATAGATCGGCATTCAGTCTCGGTCAGAGTAACGCTATGGATAAGAGCAGACAGGGACTGATACTTATCCGGAGGCAACAGTTCCAGTACAATCACAATAAAATCACGAGTATGAAAAACGTTATGAAATGATGCAAACGACGCTGGAAATGCCGACGCTGCAATGCGAATGTCGATGCTTTGTTGTAGCCTTTGACATAATCGTCGTGAAAGCATTCGAAACTTGGGAATTAATTTCAGTGCATATGTTGCATTTGTCAGACGATCCATACCGCGTAATATAATACTCCTTCGACTCGCATAAAGGATGTCGTCCGGATCTTTCCAAAGGTATTTCTCCTCAAGTTTCTTGACATATTCATACGGGAGAAACAAGACACTATGGAACCGTGTACATACACGAAGAAGAGAATCTTGATTTTTGTATGTGAGAAAGAGCATGATATAACACAAAATACTGTCATCCAGTGAAAGAAGAGGACTTCTACATGAAAAACAACACCGCGACGCGCGTGGATTTGGTATTGCACCAAACCAAAAAGGCCATCTGAACGTGCATGCCTCGGGCAAAAGAGGTTTGGAGCAATGTACACACAAGTACTGCTGACAGTTAACACACGGAGTAACAGGCTGTAGCATTGAACCGGATCGAAGGCATTTCACGCATCGCTTATGCCCATATTCCCTAGAAGAGTGCGTGAACCCCATTTCGTGCTGTGTAGGGACTTCCCTCCCCCCAGACAAAGACTCTCTCCCTCAAAAAAAAAAAAAAAAAAAAAAGGCCAGGATAAAATAAACAAATAAAAGGGCATCATCTTGATTTACCCGCCCAAATGGGTGTGAAACTCCCAGAAGAGTATATATTTCCTTCCACAACAACTGCAGTAGTACTGAACACAGAAATATATATACAAGCGGAAACATGCGGATTCCATCAACTGTTTATATTGAGCAAAATTCACATCTTTGGTACATCGTGGTCAGTACACCTGTTCCTCCAACCGAAACGACGGGTATACGCGATTTCGCCGCAGCAAACGCTCCCTTTCCCGTAGCGTTCTCAGTTCATTTGCAACCCTCCGAGCTGAATAACTACGGTAGGCGCATTGAATTACCCTTGCCGCTTCATTTTGAATCCGTCGTAGTGATTCCACTTTTTCTCTCTCACGTTGCACTACACATTGCCGTAGATGTTGCTGTAAGGGAATTCTGGTGGCACGCCGCACTAGATAACCCCGGAATACGCTCTGAATAATCGTGGCGCATGTGTTTACCAGCGCAGCACGATAACAATTTCGACCGTAGCATCGCTTTGCGTAAACTGCAGGGCCATAAACACGCCGCACCAAAAACCCAAGAAACGTTTTTTGGATCAGCGTCGCGTAGTATTCCCTCGAGGATCTGAAGTGGTGAAGTATAAATTGTCTTTTTTCTCCTCCTTCATACCACTTACGGAGCCGATACGCATGACGCCGATACACACGCTGAATCTGTATGGCCGCAAATTCACGCGCCACCGTCTCCTTTTCAAATCTCAATGCTTCATTTTGTTCTTCTTTATAGGCGATATAACGACTTCGTGTGGCATGCATACGATAGGTGCTCTGTATCTTCATGACACGTAATATTTCTGCTCGACGTTGTCTTTGGAGGCTTCGTAATTCTTTAACCGCCAACCAGCGCCTTGCGTACTTCTGCAGGACAATTGCAGCTTTTTCTTCAAAGTATTTAACACGAGCTTCTCTCATTATAGGAGCGGAATTGGATTTCCTTTCGATTATTAATCGAAAAAAGCGCACTATTCGCCTCGCACTTGCATTCTCCAAAATCACTCTTGTTTCCCTCTTCCACTTTATAGTCTCCTTCAATTTCAACATATCCTGCGCAAGGTTGAATGCGACAAGGGCGCTCTTTACTATTCCCGTGGCTTTCCACTTTTCTTCAAATGCATTTTCGGCTCGTAAAAGCATCAGTAAACGATGATTCAAAATTTTCTTAAATGCTGTAACACTGCGCTGCGCATTTTCAATTGACTTCTCCGATAACGGTGGCGGCATAAATGATTTAGCAATGTTTGCCGCATCTCGAGAAAGCACGGCACCTGGCTTGGGTTTCGGGGGCAGTATAATGAAAGTGTCATCCCGCCTCGGGACAAACGGAGTCCAAATAGTCCTTCTCGGAGGCCCTGTATCTTTTAACTCCGCCTCATCCACAACCTGCAAGGGTGTTTCTTCGCATAACAAGACCATAGCCACACTGTTTAAATTTACACTTTCCCTGAAAGGAAAGAAGGAGTCTTCATGAGCCGGAATTCCCCCAAAGACAAACTTCCTCACATCTACTACACGAAGAATTGGAACCACGACATTGCTTAGACCTTGTGTTTGCATTTTCTGCCTCAAATATTCACTTATGGGAGGAAGCTCTATAGACTCTTCCTTTGTATCATTGGTCAAACCTGAGATCCGCTTTTTATACTTCTTGCCACGATTCCCAGGCTTCGCTGACGGCTGTCGCGCCGTTGCACTCCCAGTTGCCCTAACTTTTCGTCGAACGGTTGCTTCCACCTGTTTGGCGGCCTCCGTCTCCGCTTCGGCGGCTTCTCTTCTTCTTGTCGCTTCATATCTTCGACGTTGGATAATGTCAGAAAATCTCCTTCGAGCACACTCAATGACGCTTGACCATCGTTGGTACGGGCTTGAAGCCAACATTTCCTTCCCTTGGTTATAGTGGCTTTCAGCCTCTTGTGGTTGAAGGTATTCCTCAGCGATGGCCACATTATGATATGCAAACGCGCAAAGAAGTCCATTTACATCTTCACGGGCAGCATTATCTCTATCCATCTTTTCTTGTCCCTCTTCCTCAGTTTCTCCGTCCTCAAAAAGCACCTCCATTGCTTTTTCTCGCACCTGGGAAAAAAGACAATTGTGTACGTCAACTGCACATATGTTAAGAAGAACAATACGAGTTAGCTCTTCTGCCATAGAATTGGTGAGTGCCAATTGAAGAAAAGCTGCGGCTTCTCTTGTGTTTCCTGATCGTATTAATAGGCACGCCCAGTTGCTCAAGGTCAGTGATACAAGAAAGGCAATACCCCTATCCTCCTGAATAGGTATGAAAAACTGACTAGGGTCATTGGCATCCAGATCCCCTTGCAAATAATTTCGCCTTTGCAGCTCCTTGAAGCACAGACGGAAGAAATCCCCCGCCATTTTGGTGTCGCTTGTAGCGGCTTTAACGCCAAACGCGTTACAGTGTAATATGAAGTCCTTGAAAAGTGCATTCCCCGATCCCAATTTGTTTCCTGGCAAAAGCTTTGGGTCCGAGATAGCAGCAGCAGCAGCCTCCACCTCAGAGACAGCACGCTCATAGGCTTTAACTGCAAGAAAGGGCTTTGAGGCGGCGTACAGTTTGGTCGCAAATTGCAGATAGTCACCATCCTCCGCCGTATCCATTGCACTTCCCTTGCTTTTCACGCCTGTCTCGCACTCAAAAGAATGGATAAAGCAAAAAGTAAAAGAAAATCAAAAAAAAAAAAAAAGAAATTTTGTTGTAACAGGATTATGTCAAGAGAACACAAAGCAAAAAAAAAAACGCAAGTAAAAAAATGAACTCCCAAGAAAACACATTTGGACGGTGCGACAATAAACAGCACCATAATAATAACAATATCAATTTTGCACCCTGTTTATCCCAAAATTCTGTAAAGCAATGGAAATCAAGGAGGGGGAAAGGGCAAAGCGAGCAAGACCCCGTAATAGAAACAGCGTTCAGTAATTTACAAATTTGAATGTTAAAAATTTGGTGTAACAAGCAACCTGCGGTGCCTGGAGTTCTTTTGCTGGTCCACTTTCTTTTCAGAGCTCTTTCCAGATTTATCATTCATGAGCACCAGGTAGCTTTTATGGCTCCGTTCAGTCACACCATAGTCATCGGGAGCGTGCTCCTTATGGAGCGCCACTGCACACCATTTAAGGAAGAGTATAACTTCCGTAATATCATCCGTCTGTAAGACCCAGGTGTCATTGATCTCAATGTATTGATCAAGATCGGTGGAAAGCCCCAAAGGAGTACGATAGCAAACGGCAATTTTCATTGCTCGTCCAAAAAACATAATGTCATCTGCCGTTAACTCACCAAAGCGCATTCCAACAACATGAAACGCCACTTTCCGCGTACCCAACCGATTGATTTCACGATGTAACATTCGAGCGCTGTGCCAGGAGTCCACCTTGAAAAGAACACCAATCTGAATACAGCTCTTAATCATTTCATCATGCATCTCTTGGGTTTCAGGCCTTTTGCGTGGTTGTAACTGTGTCCATGTAGTATGTAATGTAACCTCAAGATCATCTTCCATTAAAATTTTTTGATGAGATCCATCTTCCAACGGAAACCCCTTATGACGCTCTTGGTCCTCCAGATTTTTCTCCGATAAATACTCAGCAATACTCTTCTCAAGAGGCTTAGAACCATTAATTGATAATTCTTCTTCTGTGGATTGTGAGTTAATCCCAGTTGAGAACGCATCTTGTGGGGGTCCATAAAGCAACTGATACTCCAAACAATGTGTATTCCCAATTTGCCCATAATCACCAAGGTGTGCAAAGGATACGTCCATCCCTCTCGGACGAAGAAGATTTAAACGATTGGGGAAACATTCGATAAACCACTGAAGCCAACGCCTGTATTCAAAAACTCGATCTCTTTCATCCACAAAAGGCATTGAGAGAAGATGCGTTCCTACACCAGGACATCCGGTATTACTATGAACATCAATGATAATAACAGCCGTACCAGGATACGCTTTGTCCACAAAATTACCAGCAGCGTCTATCATATAATCCACACGCCCTCTCGTTTGGTCCGCAACAAATAGCAGACCTTTTGTAATACAACCTTCCCTCACGATAACAGTCAGAACAAGACAGTTTGTACTTGTTGGATTTGAACTCTGTAATTTTTTTCGGTCATTATTGAGAGCAGAATGGATCCTTGCAGAAACGCTGTTTTTTTCCAACCGTAATTTTTGCCTTTCATTGGTCGCATCCTGTCTTTTTTGAAGCCTTTGAACGTTCTTCCTAATTCGAAAACTCTCTTCATCAAATAGATGTTTTGAAGATTCCAAGATAACAGCCTGATGTGAGCAAGAATGTGAAGTGTAGTTCTCCATTCTGCTGTGACAAAACGGTGATAACGTTGAAGACATTAGTTCAATGAGTGACCAAAGAAGACCTAAATTCTCTCTTTCCCTCGCTGATATACAGACCCCGGCGCAACTTCGCTTCAAATTCACAACCGGATGCGTTTTGCTTCCCTTATATTGAGCATCTACTTTTTTCATCGGTGCAAATAATTGAAGGGTATTTTGAACCTCTTTTGAAGACTGAGCATCCAATTTTGTGTTTGATTCACAGGCTCGTAGCCGTTCAATATCTTTCGGTTTATGAACCATAACAACATTCAATCCAGCCTCTCGCAAGTCCATGAGGACATTAAACATAGCTTCATCTGCCTTTCTCGGATCCGAATATAGATCCAGCTTATTTAATACCACCAAAATCGGTTTATCAATGTTTAAGGCCACTTTAATCACTTCAAAAGTCTGAATTTGAACGCCCTCTACCAAAGAAACCACTAAAAGAAGGGCATCCGCTATAATCTGTGCATGAAAACGTGTCTCTGTAAATACGCGTTGACCAGGTGTA